AACCGAAGATGAGAAGTTCAGATCACCACTACCAATACTTCCATCTAAAGAATTGTCACTGCACAAGCTGTCAGTGCTCTGGGAGCGATTCCGTGTGGATTGTGTCAAGAAGGCGCATGTTGATTCAGTGCGCCTTAAGCCGCTACTAACTCCTCCGGGAGATGTTGACGGTGGTGGAGGAGTTTGACTTGGACTTGTACTAATTAAGCTAGTCGCTTTGCTTTTCTGTGATATACTGTCTTGGGCAATTGTCACCTTTGGTATTTTGTCCCGAAACTCATGTACTATTGGCGATGCCGTGGGCTCACCCAAAGCACCAAATTCCACTTGTATCGTAGGTGGTAGAACAGTTTCGGAAACGGGCAGGGAGGTAGAAAGACAGGTGTCCGACTTGACTGCTTCAGCTACTGGACGCTCCCTCTCCGAAACGGGCGTTGAGATCTGACTAAACTGCGTTTTTTGTGGAGTTGGCGTAGAAGATGGCGTCACACTGGCTGCGGCTGCAATTAAACATTCATTAGACTCTGAAGCTATAGTTGCTGTCTCTATGGAAAATTCTTTGGCTAGATCATCCAGACGGGTACTTTCTAGGGATGCTGACAGGCGGGTAAACTCTTCAGGCAGATGACGACTTATATCACCTTCCGAGGCACTTTCGAACGCTGAATCTGTACTGTGAGTGTCGTCGAAGTCTTCTCCAAACTTGGTGTTCTTATTTACATCTAACGCTTTGGTAGCAGCATGATGTTGCATTGAATTGGCAGGTTCAGAATTTCCCTGCGCTTCTCCACTTAAAATGCACACAACACTGCCGGCGTCACTTTGCCTGCAGTTCCTTTCTTCCGCCTTCACTTCGTAAATATCGACATTTGCTGTTACCGAAGTCGGTGATGATATCTTCTCCAGCGAACTGCCCGAGAAGATTGTGGACGATGTATTTTGTACAGGTACCGAAGTCACATTTAAATTGTTGTTATCGCTGCTGATGTCATTGTTGTTATTAATGCTTACATAATTATTTACAAGGGGGGACTGAGTTGATGTTTGTGCATCTAACTTGACATTGCAAATGGGAATGACAGATGGTTCAATTAGGCCCGAACTCGAAACATTCGTCGAAGGTGATGTAATGAGACCTCTTCTGTCAGCTTCTGCATCTTTCGGTGATGATTCTATGGACACTTTATTCGCTGCAGGATTTGAGAGAAGACTTGAAATCTCCGTAGTTCCCTCGCTTATTTCCGAATCCGTGTCGTTTGGACACTTAACAAATGTGTTTGATGTTGTTATAGTCGTTTTTGCAGATACTGTAGCTGCAATGTCAAACACATCATCACTCATAAGACTAGCATCTTCGGAACAGCATGCAGCCAGTGTGTCGGTGGAAATGTTGGAAACCCCATCTTCACTACTACTTTCACTATTCATTGAAAGTAGTTTGTCAAGCATGGATTGGCCGCCAACTGACGCCTGCGAATTGCCTTTGAGTGTACTTGTCCGCACAGTATCATCTGTATCCTCGTCCGGATCAATTTCTTCAATCGTTGAACCCACCGTTGATATCAAAGGCGGCTTAAATGATGACACTGGTCTAGGTTCGATTTCATGTTTTACCTCAATGTCACTTTGTTCACAACTACCGATAACACTATGTTGTTCATCAATTTTAGTTAGTTGATTTTTAAACTTCGCCTCAGTGTCAACGTCGCATTCAGTCTTCAATATAGGCTGATTCTCAATTTTGGTGTCCCAATCGCCCATTTCCTTTCCATCGCACAGATCAACCGGTGCAGATGTATCAAACGGTGACATACTTTCGTCGTCGTCAATGGCAGCGGCCCGCTGAAATGTCGTTCGTCTTTCCAATTCTTTCGACTGCATAATCAACGACAGAACTATGTGGCGCAAACCGTCGTCCCCAATATTGTTGTTGCTTATATCAATTAATTCCAAGTAATGATTAACCTTCAACATCTCTGCTATGGTATCGGCATCATTACAATCCAAGTCATTGTAGGCTATCCACAGCTCCTTTAAAGTTCTATTATGCCAAAGTTTGAAACCTACAAAAGATAGATATAAAAATAGTCTCATCAAACCTCCCCATTTCATATATTTTGTTTAATTCAATCTTACACAAACTGCTTAACGGCGCTCCTTTTAGACCACAGTGTTCCAATTTCAATGTATGCAAATTTGATGTGTTGAGCGCATTGCCCAAGTGGTCAGCACTGATTTTTGTAATGGGATTACCCTCAGCATTCAGCACCTGCAGTTCCTGACTGTGACTAATCATGTATGTGCACGACTGCCAACCTCTATGTGTCATTCCGGCGGCATTCGATGATATATCTAGTTCATTAGTAGCCTCATAGTATTCAATAATTTCAAAGAGTGCACTGGCTGCCGTTTCATTTAGCTTACAATCGGAAACATCTATGGATTTGTATTGGACCTAAAATAAAATTGAATATATTACAGGGGTTACTTCAAAAAAGTGAATGCAAACAATAATCGATTAATCGTTTAGTCGATATTTTATTAATTTTTATAGAACGAAAGAGATTAACAGACGACGACACATATCAAAAGAAAAATCTAAAAAAAAATAAATTGTTGGTGAAGTTATGGGCTTTTCAATATATAGATGATGGAAAAAATGTGTACAGTACCAATTTTTTTGTATACCGCCTAAATTATCAAAAACGCGTCGTAGTCGAATTAAACGAATTGAACCCTCAGATTTATTTTTGATTCTTCCAAAAAAGGATCAGATGCAACAAAAGTTCTTGTAAAAAAATCATAAATAATAATTTAAAGTGATTTTATAGTCGATTTACATATATTTTTCTTGATGTTGGACTTTTCAGTTTTCAGAAAAAATGTACTGTAGCTCCCAAACTAATGAATATAATGGATTTAAATTTTGTTTATATCCTACTTTGATAGTTGCATTAAATCTGTGAACAGAAAATGCGTTGATGAAATATATGTTGCCTTTAAAATAATAAAAATTCAACTAACAAAACCTTTGACACTTAAATATGAAATTTTTCAAAAAATTAAGTTAATCGATTTATACTCTGTATGAGCATATGTAATTTACAAACTTGGGGCGTAATATCACTATTCCTTAAGTTTTTAGGTAATTAAAGCAACATTTCTAATTAGGTCACAGGTGTTTGCTACTTACCCTTTTGAGAACTTCTTCCAATGCTTCGCAATCACTTGGCGCCAATTGTGTTGACTTGAGAGATAGTAATGGTTGTCTCAATTGTTTCGTCAGATCCACCGCCTTCAAATGATCCAATATACATGGTAATGGCTTTGTATTGTGCTTGTGGCATGATGTCATATACAGTTCAGCAATTTCCGAAATGCTTTTGACCAAACAAACTGCAAGGAAAAAAAAAAAATGTACGCACTCGTTTAGAATAGGAAAACTTGGATACATAGCACGCATACAGTATCGGAAAAAAACCTAAGTAACCCTTCAGTACATCTATTAATTTGGTTTTTTATGAAAATCAAGTTATACAATTTGTTTTTATTATTCTTATTCTATATTTATATTTTTATTATTGAAAATTCAAACAGAAAGAGTACATAACTAAAAACAACATTTTTAAAACTCAGAAAAATTTTAAATTACGAATTTAAGAGGACAAAACTAAAACACTGAACCATTTAAGTTTGAAAATTATGATTTGCTACTGAATAATATCGTTTTCATTTGAAAATTTACTAACGTAACTGGTTTTTGCAAATTTTTACAGCTTCAATTGATGACAACTGTTAGAAGTGAAGGATACGGAAACGAGTCACCTGGATGAAATATCTAAATGATTCAAATTGATTCACATACATATATAAATTGTATACATATGTACATGCTTCAAATGCACTGAGTGATATTTTGCACGTTTTTCCTCCCAACTGTTTTCCCATCACATGACATTATAATAAGACATCATTTCGGTGCTAAAATCAGAAAAATGTCAAAATATATGGCATCATTAAAACCTGTAGCTTTGAGACTCTGTATATATATATATTTACAACCGCATGTGTAGTACACATTTACATGCTATGTATAAATATCCATCCATCATCCTCCCTACAAAATGTAAACACATATGACACAACAACAGCACGTTGTGTTCTCTTTTTGTTTGTCATAAATATGATTAGTTATTTGGTATTGTTGTTGTTTTATATTTACTAAATACTATTTGTTTGCACATTTCTTTTATTTGCCACTTTTTCATTTGTTCGAGCGTGTGTTTAACACTTTGCTTTCATTGAAATTATCGTCGATGACATCACAATCTCAAGCGTGATATGTGCGGTCGGTCAAAATAAAATTCCAGACAAATAAAAAAAATAAAATACAAAATAACAAAAAAATATAATAAAACCTAAAGCCAAAGAAATAAGAGACACGGACATGCTTGTAGGTAAACAAATACAAACATCGATACAAAGCTATCTGACTATTTTCAAGTTGGCAGTAAATTGTTTTTTATTGTTTCCAGTGGGTAACAAACGTTCACTCGATTTTCGGAATTTCGAAATCTTAGCCTTAGCGGGCTAAGATCTCAATTTCTAGAAAAAGTGTACTTATTGCCTTTTCACGTTAAGCCAGCGATATGTGATGGACAACCGATAAAGCAAACATGTGCAAGTCAACCTTGGTAGGAGTCTGGGCGCATTGTTGTAATATATCATACTATATCGATGATTTTTATTTCTGTTAAATTCCAGACTGCAAGATGTGTCCTGAGACTCCGGGAAAAAGACACGTGGTTGTCGTTGCGTTTTGGCCACGCTAGATAGGAGCTCACATATCAGTGACTATGATCCCTTCCATAATGACTTTGATAGCATTAGGGCTGGAAACTATTGAATATATAGGGCAGCTTCGGCAGCTCTCACTGTACATCACTAGCTTCGATCCATAGGTATCGAATATCAAAATAAATAACTTTCGCAAAGTTTGAAATCTTGAATCATATTTAGATGCACGTTTTTTTTGTATTTTTACAAATGTTTTGGTAATATTTCCATTCCATTTCGTAAGTATTTCGTGTATACAACTTTTTTAAATTTTAAGGCTGTATTATTTAACAAAAAATAAAAAAGTAATTCATCACAATGTATATTCTTATAAAAAAATTAAAATTATAATGTTGTAAGAAGATTGACAGAAAAAATAAAAAAAAACTATTAAAAGTGCCTTCGGGGTAGATTCGGCTTTGGAAATTGGGGCACATTCGGCCATATATAGATAGTGCTATATTATTTCCTTAAAATGTTTTTTGGTTTGTCTTTAAAAATAATCCTTTAATATGGTTCGAAATTACATATATAAGACCGCGTGCTTGTATTGACGAAAATGCGATAGAAAAAATGTCAAACTTTGAGTCGCATATTAAAACAAAATGAAACATTTAGAGGATATGAATTTTGTTAAAATCTTGACACGTCTAAATTAACCAACAACTATACAATCTACCAACTTCTACTATCCACCAATTCCGCTTTTTCGATTCATTTTTTCCTATGGAACCTAGGATGAGCAAAATGCATAAATGTCTCCGAGTGATAAGGCTGCTAATGCTGGTTTTGTACATCCTTTAACTTAATCTAACCTATCCGTTAAACATTTCATCTTTCGCCTTATTTTTTTAACCATAAACTAATTACCACATGGCGAAATGTCTTATCGGTCTTAATATTTATATAGGGTCCTCAATAATGATTAAGTTTTAATTAAAACATTATATATGCTAAAAGCTTTTATTTTGATTTAAGTTGGAACTACGTGGTTGTATTTTGCAAAATATAACATAATTTTATCTTAATTTTTATGTATATTTGATTTAAATATATATATATATATATGACAAAATGTAATGAACTAATCAAAAATTATCTTCAAATGATACCCAAAATGAATATATGTATGTTATTCTTTCAATGACATTGAATGTTGAATATGAATCATGCCACACCATATATACAAATATTGTTCATGCATACATACATATGTAGGTTTATTGGCATGGCACTCAAACTCACAAGGAGGCTTCTTAAACCAACTAAACATTTTGTGTGAAAAAGCGCACTCGTAATGACCAACAATAAAAAGATCTCTGCCTGCTATATGAAAGGTTCGTCATGAAGACATGTCTAAATATATGCCCATAAATATTTGCATGTATATACATGTGTGTGCCAATTTAAAAGTGCAAATTTTCTATGTACGCTCCCACATTAGCAGTGTGTGTCCACCATGCGCGTTATCTATGGCTACAGCAACAACAGGAGACAGTCTGTCTGTCATAAACGAATACGTCATCGCTGTTCATTCATATCACAGCGCTCAAAACAATCACAATAGTACAGAGGGAAGCAGCAAGAAACAAAATGACACACTTCAAATAAAATAATATTGATAAAAAGAAAATAAATAAATGCAGCTTCATAGGATACATAGATAGAATAGCTGGTAAAGTCATAACTTTCTTGACACACATTAGTTCTTCGTTATATATTTAAGATCAGTTCAATTTATAGGGTAACTTTAAAGAAATACGTATTTTAAATTTTTCGACATTCCAGGGGCATTTATTCCTCTATATTGTATTAATGTTCATTTGTTTCGAAATGTTTATTTCCCGATGACAGTAACTCATGTTTAAGTAGTTTGTACTAAAGTTAAGTAAATTCAAAATTTGGTAAAATATTGTTTTTTTTTTTTGCCTATAGTCGGCATTAGTTTCCTATTGCCGGCATGGTATGTTCCAATAGTCGGCATGTCGTATTGTAATTGAAAAAAATTTGTATATTTGACTGATTTTTTATTATTTTCATTAACATATGGCTATTAAAATTATAGATTTCATTGATTTATTTTATGAAAATGTTTCATTTCATTTATTTCATACAATGTAATATAAAAAAGCCAGCATGGCCAATAACTTATATTAACTTATATATATATATATATATATAAAAATCCAATATAAATAAATATAAATACATCACAGTACAAAAAAACAATCTACATAATGAAATTTAATGCAAACCCCTAACATAACAGATTCCAAAAAAGAACCCCAATCCACTGCACTCTACTTAACTGTTGCTAAGAAAAGTGGAGGGGAAAGGAAGCTTAAGGAATCATACATATAAATATACTATATATTCCTCTCGAGCCCAAGAGCAATATCAGAACCACAGACATTAAATTCCATATGTATAAATCTATAACATAAATGCTAACGAACTTAAATTATAAATTTTGCTGCCGACTTTATGAAACAGTTATCCAATACTAGGCATGGCTAATACACTCACTTTCAAGGGTAAAAATGTTTGAGATTAAAACCATGCATGTTATTGTGAAACCACTTAAAACTGATTTTTTTATAAATGAATCGGCCTTTAGAGCACTTATTTAAATTGTTCCTTAATTTTTGGCCAAAATGAAAATGTGCTTATTTTTCTTCCATATGCTGACTATAGGAAAATCGTCATTTTTTTTTTTTTTTTTTTTTTTGTTTAATAAAAATATCATTGTTACAAATATTTCTTAATAACTTTACGTGCTAAAATATGACTTTGTATGTTCTTAACAATTATGGAAAATCCGGATGAAAAATATATAACTTTTATATATTTTCTATCAATACATGTATAATAGGCCTCTAAGGCTTCCTTTGTATTGATATTATAAATAAATAAAAAAAATATTTACGAGTATTTTAAAATCGGCATGCTCACTACTTTTTTTTACTATTGGTAAAAGAACCACATTGAGAAAAGCCTAAATTACTGCATAATAAATGCACGAGGAATTTTTGCACAGAGATAGATGGATTTAGTGGAAGGATTTTTTAGTTATTTGAAATCATATACAACAGAGTACTGGTACATGTCGACATTAGGAGCACTTACCCTTTAGCTGTTTTATAATTAGTTTTCAATTCTGGGCCTTGAGAAGAGAATTCGAAATATATATAATTTGCGGAAATTTTTTAGAAATAACTCTTCGTCGGCTGCAAATTTGTACCGAAAATGTAGATTTGCCTGCTAATCTGCCTAAAAACTATCACTGTAAAAGGTTAGCGACACTTTACAAAATAAATTAGCAAAGGACAGTAACCCTTACATTTTTAGCTAATAGGAAATATCACATTGTGATATTCGTTTCAACGACAAAGGGTCTGTTTAAAATAACTGAAATATGCTATCTATAAAAATAAAATAGGCTTTGATAATCTTGAACGATATTATCAGCTATCTGTGTCAAATTTTAATCGAAATAACAAAACCCAAAGGGGATGACAGACTGACTATGTAGATAAAATAATGATGCAGTATGCAGTGCAGGTGCATTTTTATTTTGTTCACCAAGTAAAATTAATTTTTTTTCTTTACATACTAAATTGCAGGGCAACCCAACACAAAATCATTTGTTTTCATCTATTTATTAAAATATATATCAGGCCTTTGCGCTTCCTTTTATAAACTAATAGCACATATACAATAGTTATAAGTTTTGTAAGATGTCATACCAAATATTAGAAACTTGTGCCGACTATTGTAAAAAGAGCTATTTTTTTCAAATTACACAACGTTAATATAAAATAATTTAAAAAAAAATATAGCATCGAAGACACAAATACATTGTAAAGGATATAGTAAATTCAATGGATTTAAATTGTCAAGTTTTCATTGGATATAGAAAGTCAAGTAAATTCCTTCTTTATGAGGCCCGGCAAGAAGTTCTAATGTACAACTCTTTCAGTTTCGACAAAATATTGAAAAATGCACTGGAAATGGAGGAAAATTCAAAAATCCTTTAAGTGACGACTACTGAAACATACATGAAGTAAGTCATTCTATCCAAACTTAAACCATCATAACATTTTATCTCAAACATAGATTAAGTCCGAAGATGAGGAATATCGATCCACTTTTCCATTTTAAAATACGAAAATTTGTCAATCTCATTTTTTTCTTATAGATGGAATTTTAGATTTTATCCAATCGTAATATTAATACCAAATCAGAAGCAGTGGACAAATACCAAGATCAATGTATAGGGCATATGATGAGCGTATATATCGACAACATTTAATAGTTAATTGTTAAAATGAGCTATGAGATTACAATGTACACACAAAAAAGTACGGGAACGGGAAAAGAGTTAATATATGAACGTCACGTACATATATGTATGTCAATTCTTCAAAATCAAAACTAGCAGGGTGTTTCTAGAGCATTGTTTTAAGAGTTTCTAGATAGTTGATTAAAATTCTAATTCTATATATCTCTATTTAAATGTCTAGTGAATTATTATTTTCATTTATCATTTTTAATTATGGACTTACCATGTTCCCAAGGATTCGCTGGCTCTAAATATCCGGTAACTAATTCGTTGTCGCTTTTAGGAAATGATACACGACGTGGAAGAGAAACAGAACCATCCGATGATTTTCGCACCATGTTCGGCGAGGCGGTGGCACTCACAGTACCCGATTTAATTGCACTGCTATAGTATGGCACAGTGTTGTCTGCCGCCGGCTCTTTTTTATCTTGTTCTTCTTCCACTTGTTGCAGTTGCTTTTTACGCAATTGTACTCCAAAAGTCGGCTCACTGGAGATATGCGGCAAATGAGTTTCCAACTTAGGACTTAAATCCAAAGGTAGAGACGCTAATGGTGACGATGGTAATGCTACTGTTGTTCTCGAAGGTGTTGATAATCCCGATGAAACAATTGACGGCAACATTTCATTAACATCCTCATACTCAATTCGCTGCCGACTCCTTGTGTCCAATGTATCATCCGTTGGGATTTCGGATATGAGTGGCTGTAATGATGGATTTTTCTCATCTGATGCAGTTGTTGTGTTTTCTGGTTTTCGATCCTGCTGTTGCAATGGCAGTTCGGTATCACCTGGTGTCATAACTGAGCCAGAAGTTAACAACGCTGATGTCGGTGATGACTTCGAAGATTGTGGAATTGCAGTTTCGGCTTGGTGTACATTGTGTTTTTCATAGTTCTCAATAAAATGGCTTGCTGTTGTTGTCAATTTGCTTATTGTTGCAATTTTGTTCTCGTTTTCGTTTGTCTTTTTAACACTATTATCGTCTATTGTAATGTTAGTTGTTGCTGTTGCTTTTGTTTCAGTAGTAGTTGGCGTCTTTGCATTGTTGTTGCTTTTATATTCTTGCTCTGTTGATAGTTGTTGTGTTCCTTGTGGGCTTTGTTTTTTGCTTTCGCTTACATTATCATATGCAAAACTACTCATATTCACGTTTTCTCTTTAAAATAATATCTTTTCACACTGTTCACTTCGTACAATTTCGCTTTGCTTTCATCAGTCTAAAATCTATAAAAACGGAAGCAGAATTCTGATCGTTTAATTAGCACAAAGAATGCAAATTGTCAAGACCGGTGAACTTTTTTCAGTTGATTGCGCAAAAAGTGCTCATCAATACTATATGGAACAATGGATGCAGCTATCTTTGGTGGATGATCGATCTGTCACCAAACTTATTTTTAACTAGGATTTGTTATAAATGTTTCGTTTCTTTTTTACGATAATTCGAAAACTTTTCACCGATAAGGAATAGAAATGAATGAATAAAAATATAAATAACATAGTAGGGAATCTGAAATGATTTTCAATGACAGTAAACAATATCTCACAGACTATACGCGGGTTATAACATCGAATGAAGAGTGTAAAAATAAATAAAATAGAATTCCGGTTTAACGATTATGCTATTTAACGATGGATCAATCCCATTACATAGTGTACACCACCGTTATATAATTCCGGTTTAACGATTATGCTATTTAACGATGGATCAATCCCATTACATAGTGTACACCATCGTTATATAATGAACACAATGTAAACTCCTGTACTTAATATGTACAACGGTCTCACACAAAAAACGGTTTTCAAGTGCACTCTTGGTTCGGCAAAAAACACAAAGAACCAAAAAAAAATCGTTACATCTTTCATCTTTATTGTTCGTTTTTCGGTTTGTCTTCGAATTAATTTTGCTTGCCATTTCATGTTACATCGTAGTGCAGTAAACATTAATATGCCTGCATGAAAGAGATTGTTGATAGGTGAAAAATTGAAGATCAATGAAAATCATCGTTAAGGTGAATCTGTATAGTCTTTACAAACACTACTACTAATTTAATGTCTTGTAAAAAAGGGTCGTTGATAAATCTTTATCAATATTTAATATCGAACGACTTACTGGAACCAGAAAGGGAATTTAAATGCTCAATACTATATAATTTGTAAAATAGGTTTGTTTTTAGAATGAAATTTCCCCTGAATGAAAATTCTTCATAGGATAACGAGAGTATCCGAAGTAATTAATCGGAAAACATCTCGGATGAACAATACTCGAAAGTAAAGAATTCGGATGTCATACAACATTTCGAAGAGAGTGTAAAATGGTGCGACCAGAATAATATTGATTTTTCGAAATAGAGAGTTTTAAAACAACTTCAAGAAGAAGCTATATGCCAATGCGTGGAAGTTCCACATATGCTAACTACAATAAATGATTTTTTTAAACCTTCATAAATACTATTGTTCTCAGTGAAATAAAAATTGAAAGCAAATTTTTATTTTTATAAAGAAGAAATACTGGAGGAGGTACCAAAGGGAGTGGATTCATATATCAATTGATACAAGTTTTGAACTTTTAAATCCTTTGGGGGAGGTATCAGAACGAGTGGACCATCGGCTGCATTTCCATCGGCTGCATTTTCCTGTGATCCTTTATAAGGGTGGTACTAAAATTAGTGGACCTATAAATCCTATTTTCGGAGTCAAAAAAGGTTGGAAAGTACTGCGTAAAATACGTTGTCCAATTAAAATTACAAGGCATGATGATGTAGCACAATCAGTAAATAAAACATATATATATATATATATATATAACTGCATGCATCATCAGGTATACAATTTACTATACACAGATATACTGACATGAAGCAGACCAACCAATAACACACATCATCATGTGGCCAGTTCGCGCATGGCAAAAGATAAAGAGCAGAAAACACAATGCAGGAACTCTATCTAAATTACTGGGAATTGTGATGATTTCAAAGATGCACAGATGACAACAAACCACAGCAATAAGACACACGAAGAGAACATTTTTTGAAACACAACAAGACAGACAATTACCTAACGTGCAATGTTTTTGTTGTTAGTTGTCTGTTCCCACCTCAACTCTCCATGCCGAGGCCAACCAATTATTTGTACGCTTAGCGAATGAAACAGAGAACACAACAAGAAAGAGGAATCAAAACAAACGTTAGGGCCATGTAAAAATAGAAGAAGAAGAACAATGAAACAGAAACGTCCAATTGGTGGGGGGACAGTGCTTCAAACACTTCGATTGGGTGACTTGGCTGTTTGTGGTCATCACATCAGTAGTGTTTGTTTAAATATTACTGATGGTGTTGTTATTGTAGTTGTGCGCGACTTATTTTGATTGTTCGTCTGGCATGTATTTGTCTTGTTAGAATGTGCAAATTAAAATAATAATTTTGGTGCTGTTGCTGATGATGTTGTTTATTTACTTTTCGCTTGTGTCGCACACTTCGCGTTGGAATTCAACAAAATGGGGAAAATACAAAAAAAAATAAATAAATACTCTGCTGCTGTTCTATTTGCACTCGTGTTTATGGATCTTGATTTGATTATTTTTTTTTTTTATTTGCGCGTATTTTGTTTTTTGAGTGATGTTGATAGTTCTGTTCGACGTTCAAACTCTTGAGAGAACTAATAGCATGCGCGCGATTGCTAACATGTTCGTATGTTCAGCACATGTATGTACGTCTTGCCTAGTCGAATATCTTCTTTTTTTAGTTTAATTTGAAATCTGGAGACTGAGGTGAATGTGTGTGTATACAAACATACATATGTATATATATGTTTGTATATTCATAAATATATATGTATGAGGGAAAGACGCTTGTTTGTTTTGAAAAAAGTGCATTTCTTTGGTTTTAATTATTATTATCATTATAATTTTTTTTCTAGTAAATTTTCTTATTTTCCTTTTTGTTGTTGTTCGCATTTTCTTTGTATATATTTTATGCCATTACTTGCGAGAGCTAAACGACAGTCTCCATTCACCGATTGAAAATTAATTTGTAATTTATTTCTTTTTTATTTTTTTGTTTTATCACCTGAGTACTCTGTTGATTAGCATTCAATCACTCACACTTGAACAAATGAACGCACACATATCTGTATGACTTGAGAAAAACACACGCTCTTATTTTCTTTTTATCAATAAATTTATATAGCCCTTCAAATTCACTTAAACTGTGTATTTGGTAGGCTTGGAGTTGATCTATCACCTATAGCAGCCACTTTTCCACAGCTGGATATTTTCTTTTTTTTTTCAATATTAACTACGTTTGATGTTTTGGCAGAACGCTCTATTCTATGGTTACACAATTTCAAAGACAATTCGTTAGGAAAATGTTTTTCCCGATTGTGCATTAACTTTTGGGCCAAACACTTTACATTTCCCGTAGGACTTTCAAGAATATCAGCAATTACAGGCACGTTTTATGAATTTGTATCTTTTTAAATAAATATATTCAATCAAAAATGTGAACTGACTGCGGACATTCCAACAAAAATGTCGAACTCTCTCCGAAAACACTTATATTCTTCCGACGACCAACCACAATGACGGCGGAAAACCAATGTACTGAATAGGGATAGGTAAGTCGACTTTCGACTAATCGATTAATCGACTTGTATTGAAGAGCCAACCACAATGACGGCGGAAAACCAATGTCAAAGACCATGGTACAAGGCATGGCACATGGCCTATAAATAAGGTCACCAAGGGAGACCAGCTGATTATCGATACCTCTCAAGTTTGCTGTCAAAATGCATTATTGTGAATTGACTTCCATTATGAAAACGTAAACAAAGTCTAAATTTTTGACATTAGACTTGAGAAAAAACAGCTGTTTTTCGATTTCGATTGCTATCTTGGTGACCTTATTAATAGATCTTGGCATGGCACAATAAATAGGTAGTCCATTTAGCGCAGCTGATGTCTCGATTAACTGTTGTAGAATATGTTAATAAAAGAACTGCCAAACAAGCTCTTCGAAATTCGGCTCAATTTTAGGAAAAATGTGGAAGCGATTTTTCCTTATAATAATTCACATTGCACATCGAATTCAAGTAGAAATTACCCACTTTGACAGTTAATCGAGACATCAGCTGCGCTAAATGGACACCTATTTATTGTGTCATGGACTTGACAAGATGTATTTTTCAATATTAGCGTCAAATTTGTGCTATAGAGGGCTACAAATTTGACTGGAAAATTCACTTTTTGAAGTTCTCTCACGAGGAAATACTTAACAGCAATGTTAATTATTTTGAAAAATATGGTTACCAAAAAAAATATGGTTAATAAAATAATTTTGCTTTATTTGAGAAGAAGTTGAAAAATCTGGGACGACTTTGTGAAATGTAGAGTCGAACTATTTGCAGCTGGCTCATTTATCAAGTTTGTTTAGTTCAGTTTAAAAAAAATGAATATGGCGAAGGAGTTCCTTGAAAGTTGTATTTATTGTAGTTTTCAAATTAATATGGCAATGGCACAAAAATGTCATTGCCATTTGAATCTTTCAAAGAAAAGTTTCTCAGAATAAGTTATACGGCATTTACATTAGAACTTTTTACCGGGTTAACCTACTTTATGAGGATTTATTTGACATGTATACAATGGAATTGAAAATTGAAACCCACTGGGTTAACGAAATCCGGTATAATGTAAACGTACTATAAAACGGCATGTACCTTAGAAATTTTTACCAGGTTAACCAACTCTATGATGATTTACTTGACATTTTTGTAATGGAATTGACAATTTAAACCCTCTGGATTAATGCAATGGAAATCATACAATTGAAAATCAGGATTTATTTAATTTATACCCTAAAAGATCCAAAATAATTCGTAACAACGAATGAAAACAGCATAATAATAAACATAAAGTACTAAAAATTGTAACTGTACTCATAAAATGAGTTGCACAGTGCACATAGGTGAACTCCATGTTTTAACTACTAAATCCACACGATTTCAAATGTCAATTTCATGGCATATATGACACCATCATGTTCATTGAATTCATATTTGGTCTGTTCCAGTACTTTTTTAATAGTAATAAAAGAGAAACATTTCGAAATCGCTCTCAGAGTACAAAATAATTTGAAACGTTCGGG